CTCTAGCATTACATAAATTTATTATTATTATTATTACTTTATTATATTTGTGTTTAAGAAAATTTTATTTATAGTTTGCGTTAATAATTTTAAAATTATAAAATGTAATTAAAATTAAAGGAATAATAAACACTCCTCATTCATAAATAGAGTTGCAAATAAGGACCTGACCTGGTTTAAGTTTAGTCTGACTTGACCTTTTTAATAATTTAGACTTTTTTTTTAAAATTTGTTTAAGTAACCAAGTCAGATCTAAGTTATTTATAAAGCCTGTTAAGTCTAATAAGTTGGTCTGTATAAAAAAAAAAAAATATATATATATATATAATTTAAAAATAGAGCTATCAAAATATATTTAAATAATAAAGTTATTTAATAATATATTTTTTATATTCTTAATTCTGTTATTATTAAATTAGTATATTATGTTATAATTCTTTTTATTTATAATTATAATAAATAGAAATTGTATTCTATTAAAAATTAAAAATATTTATACACTATTATACTTTTTAAATAATAAATTTATTTAATAATAAATTATTATATTTTGTTATATTTAAACAAGTTAAATAATAGTTAAGTCTTCAAACAAGAATAAAACGCAATAAAAATTAAACGAAATAAAATTTAAAAATAAAATAATAAAATTATATTAATATATTTTTTATACTCTTAATTTTATTATTATTAATTTAATTATTATAATAATATATTATGTTTAATTTTTTTTCTTTATAATAAATAGAAATTATTTAAATATAAATTATATTTTATTTAAAACTAAAATTTTATAAAAATATGATAAAAAAATAAAATAAAAAATTCAATATACAATATATATATATATATATATAATAGGACCATATAGTAAATAATATAATTAAATAAATTATGTATAATAATATAAACTTTTTATAACTTACTATGTATTTTACTTTTATTGGTATAATTTTTTTTTTACTAAAGTACCTATAAAAAAAATTTAGATACTAAGTGCATAACACACAGACAGACACCTAAATATAATATGTCAAATTTTAATTATTTTATATTATATTCAAAATTAAAAATATTTATACACGATTACACATGTTTAAAAAATATTAATATATTTTTTATATTTTAATTTTATTATCATTAATATTTAATTATTATATTAATATATTATGTTATAATTCTTTTGATTTAATAAATAAAAAATATTTAAATATGAATTATATTTTATTTGAAAGTAAAAGTTTATTTAAAAAATGATAACAAAATAAAATAAAATAAACTTATTATAATATATATATATATATATATAATCAGACAATGTAGCAAATAATATAAATAATATAATTATAAATAAATTATATAATAATATATATTTTTGTAACTTTCACGTGTTTTAATTAAATTATTAGTTAATTTATAAATTTATATGTAATATATAAGTATGTGTTTTAATTTATTGTATCAGCAATATTTTCTATATTACATTAAGGTTATAGTGTAGATAATTTTATGTTTATTTGTTAATTTAAAATAACAAATTAATGAAACAAATAAAATTAAATATTTTGTTATTATTTTTTTAATTTAATAGTTATTATTATTGTCATTATATATATATATATATATATATATTGCATTAAGTTTAAATTTATTTATTTTTTAAAATATAATAATTTTTTTTAATTGATTCAACAAATTGTGTAAATATTATTTTTTTAATCAATTTTATATACTTACTATAACTTTATTTGTTGAATATAAGATATCTTTAAATAAACAAAATATGTTTCTAAAATAAAACTAAAATATTTAATATTTAAATAATTTTTAAAAATAAATCAAGAAAAATATAAATATAAATTTTATTAATATAAAATATTTATAATTAATACTTAAATGATATTTTAAAAATTATTCATAAAATTATATAAATATTATTATAATTATTAATAACATAAATAAAAATTAAAAAAATATGTAAACTAATTTAATAATAAAATATTTATATTTTTATTAATATTAAAATATTTTTTTTGTAACAGACTTTGTTAACAGACTTCAAGCAAGGCCATACTACTTAAATAAGTCAGGTCAAACTTAAAATAAAGTTTTTAACAAGTAACAGGTCAAGATCAGACCTAATAATTATATTACAGACCAAATTTTTTTAGAGTAAAGCTTGGCTTCACTTAACCTGTTTCTATCCTTAGTTGCAAACTTTTATTTATGTTTCTTTTAAATTCCTTCTACGTCTAACTCTGTATCCAAATAAACTTGAATTAGAATAATAATTTGATGATTTCAAGTTATGAGAATAAAATATAAAATAATTATAATTGGACTTACTACGATTTATATAGAAATTTATAATAAAAATTATTTATTAATTTCTAATCTAATATTCTAAACTAAGGATACTAGATTACTAATTAATGAGACTGATAATAGTTTTTATCTTTTATTCCTTAAACTAATGTTGTGATATTACTTACTAACAAAAAATAAAATCCAAAATAATTAAATATTTTGCTAATGCATGTTCTTAGTTTATTTATTAAAGAATTAAAAAATCATTTTTAATTAAATTTAGTACTTTGATCTTCAAATTTTTATTTATTTTATATTTAGTTTCTTAATTTTATTTTATTTTTGTTTTAACTTGATCTTAAGTAAATAAAGTATTTTTTTTTATTTAACAATATTAATCAGATAAGAAGAGGACGAAAAAGATAAGGACAGCAAAAACTACAATGATGATAATAATTAAGAGAAAAAGATAAAAATATTAATTGAAAAAAATTAAATATGAGCCCTTTAAACTTGGAGACACCTTATGATTTCATACCTTAGACCCAAAGAGGTTTGTTAAGACACTTGTCAGCATATAACAAAATTTAGGAGTATATATAACTTTATATCTTACTAAGAGCAATGATTAAGGAACTTAAATTGGAATTTTTTTATATATTAGAAAGTATATTAAGATGCATTTAATAATATTTTTCAACAATATATATTTTTACGTTTAATTCTTTAACTAGTATCTTAGGTTAGGGATACCAAAAATATTTCCGATAACTATAGCAACTATACTAGGGAAAATTATCACTCAAACAAAGATATTAGCAAAAAAAAAATAAAAAAAATATGCTAACAACACATTTTTTTAATCTATTCTTTTAACATAATTTTTATGTAATTAATTAATTTTCAAGGTTAAAGAATTTCTGAAATAATTATTTAATGGATACTTAAATATATGTCAGAAAAATTTTTGTATAAGATTTTTTTATTAAAAATCATAGGATATCACATGATTCAAAATATTTATAACAATAAATGCAATAATTTTTAATTAAAATTTACAACTGATTTCTAATTTAGTGTATTAAAAAGTATATTAACTTTTTAAATGGAATTTCATCTACACGTGAAATATGTTGAAGAATGTATTAAAAGTAACTTTGTTATATACTTTTAAGGTTTTAATAATCTTTCTAATAATCATGTATTATAAAAGTAAACATTAAATGAAAAAGTGCTTACATTTTGTTATCATAAAATTATGAAAAAAATATTAATTTAATTTATTAATAATTAAGAGAATGTATAAACATAAAAAGTAAAATAATTTTAAATTATTTCCTTTACTCTTTTTTATAAAAACTAATTATCATTATTTTTTTCCAAAATATAATAAACAAACACCTATTTTCATTGTGAGATTTGTATTTAAAAACATTCTTTCATTATCTACATAAGTAAGTATATTCATTCATTTAATATATAAATTATCAATTTGACCATTTATTCTTATAAATATCTTTGAAATATATTATAATTTATGATATATAACTGTTTTTCATTAGTCTTAAAAAACTAATTAATTATTTATAAAAAGAATAAGAGGAATTATCGTTAAAAATTTATTTAACGTGTATTCAAGGATATATACTAAAAAGAATTAAATAAACTACATTAAATACCTTAAATTACAATAAAAAATCGAATGTCTATATAATTTAAAATGATAAATATTTTTTATTTTAATAAAAAATTATTTGAAACGTGTGATTAACTCATGTTAGAAAAACTGTTAAAAAAAATAGATTAAAACATTTCTTAAACATGGAAAAGGGTCAAACGATTTCAATACAAGAGAGTAATACATAATCAAGAAGATACAGAAAACGATACAGAGACATTAAAAGCTTAGCAGCTGCAACGGATACAGAGGAAGCAAAGTGACGCATCAATAATTGAATGCAATTCAACTCCCCACCCACTCATATGCTGATATGCTAACCTTGTTAGATTTTGTAGCTACGCTTATTCACTACTCCAAATTATCATGTTGCCCATGTAAATCATTATTACACTCAAATCTTAAAGATTTTAAACGGATTTTGATATTAATTATCAGATCTATGCCTACTATTTATATATATAAGAGAAGGAAGAAAACTTTGGAACTCAGAACAAGCACATAAGAGATGAAAATGCTTAATTGAAAGCAAAATCTCTTGCTTCACTCAAACCATAACTTCAAATTTGTAAAATCTGATTCCAATAACTAAGCCTGTTGACTCCCAAAACCCAACTTGTAGCCGGCACAAACCGGGAGAGTTTCACTCGTGTCACATCATAAGTGTTTGAAAGTTTTGCATTCATATTTATTTTATCAGCTTCCAAAAACTCACTCACTCATCATCATCCATCACAATGCTCCGATTTCATCACGTGAAATTTAAGACAAAAAATCCATTCCTGCTACAAACCACAAACCATCTGGCCAAATAAAAACCACAATAAAATAAAATAAAAACAAAAACAAGGTTTTACAGCTCTTATGATTTCTCTTTCTCATCTCTAATTATATGATTTTTATAGGATTAACTGTACAATAAAAAAAAAAGAAACACAATTTTCTTCTTTACTTCAAGTTATATATTTTTAAGATTTAACAAATTATTAAGCTAAAAACAAATTAAAATAACAGTACAAATAAAACTACTAAAATTAATAAAAGAAAAAAAATACAAATATAACCGTACAAGAAAAATTATTCAACAAAAACAAGAGAGAGGTGAAAAGAATCACATCACATGACATCACATCAAATAAAATCACACGGTAACAAGACTCATCAACACCACCAAAACCAATCCAAAGTAAAAACCAAACCCAAACCTTACACCCATCACCGAGACCCCACCACCACTTTTATTATTATCCCCACCACCATTCGCACTACTGTTCCCACTTATTGTGGACCCCACCACCTCCAGCGCTCCCTGCGCCTGAAGATTCTCCGGTTTCCTCGCGTGAATCATCGGTTTCCCTCCGGTTACGGGCCCCACCTGCCACACTTGAGTCAAGTTCCCCTCCTTTTCCGGGATTTTTACGACCGCAAACACCGTTATCACGCCGCCAGCCTCTTCCGCGCTCACGTCCCAAGTGTCAAACGAAAGTGCCTTTACGGCGTCAATGCCTTTGTAAGAGGTGAGGTTGTAGAGTCCAACCGCAACGCTGCCGTTTTGCTTGAAGGCGATAAAGGCTTGCGTGCCGACCATGCCGCCGCCGGTGGGGTTGATACCCCAGGCGACCCAGCCGTTGGGGCTGGGGGGCTCGGCGGCGTAAGCGACGGCGAGGGAGTGGTTGGTAGCGTTGTAGGTGAAGTGGAGAGTGGCGCCTAAGGAAGGAAGGTTTGTGCAGTTGGCGAAGGAGCGGCTGGGTGGAAGCTTCTGGGTGTCGCAGTCTATGGCTGCGTGGGAAGGTGTGAACAGAGAGAAGATGAAGATGGTAACGGTAATGGTGGTTCCTAAAATGAAGGGTGAAAAAGTGGGTATATGAGATGATGCCATTGTTTTGTGATAAGAATAATAAAAGATCAAGATACTATTGAGAGAGAGAGATTGGACTACTGAAGTGGTGGTTTTTGGTTTTGGGTTTGGCAAGTGACATATATAATGGGAATGAGTGCGTGTGGAGATCTGACGGTGAGATTTGATGCTTTGTTTGGACAATAACATTTTTAGTAAAAAGTAAATAAATAAAAAGTTTTATTAAAAACTATGTCTTAATAAAGTAAAAAATTATACAAGTAACATTTAGAAAAAAGATAAAGTACTAAAAAGAAATTTATAACAATATATATTTTTATTTTATTAAAAAACGTTGAATTTAGAATAAGTATATATATTGTACTACTCTAAAATTTTTTTTACAGAAATTGTATTCAAAAAATTTATATCAATGAAAAAAGATACGTGATAAATTTTAAAAAAATATTATTATTTAAAATTATATTATTTATTATATAATTTTATTATCTATTTATTTATTTATTATATATTAAAATTTAATTTAATTTATTATTTTTTAAATAAATTTTTAGTTTCAAATAAAATATAATTTATCTTTAAGTAATTTTTATTTATTATAAATAAATAATTATAAATAATATATTAATTTAATAATAAAATAATATTATTTTTTATTTTTAAATTTGTTTAATTTTAACTTAAATACTCTTCAACTAATTTAAATATAATAATTTATTATTAAATAAATTGATTATTTAAATATATATCTAAATATTATTAATTAAATTTTTTATAATATCTTAAAAAAAATTATAAATACCACAAAATTTATCTTTAAAATAATAGTATTTTCTAATCTAAACTTTAGAATATTACGTAACCAAATAAAGAGTGTGGGAAAAGGGGAGGTTTATTAATAAATATGTATATTGTGTAGTGAAAACTAATGGAAAGTTGCAAATGCAGATCATACGGTATCAAATTTGCCAAATAAAATAAAATTAATTTATAAATGGCGTGTCTATCTTATCGATTTTTAATGTGAAAATTTACTTTTAAGCATATATTAAATTGTCAAATTCAGTAATTTATATATGTGTATTCTTTGAAATTATCGGTCAAATTAGGCTTGAGAATACATGATATGGAAAGTAATTCAATTAAAGAAAATTATGAATCTTAAATACAACTTTTATCCTTTAAAGATTTATTTGACTAATTTTGAATTTTTTTTTCAAGTCTTTTATTAAAGTTAATTTAGTTTAACTTATTTAATGGATGAGCTTAACATTGACCTTTTGTATGCCTCCGACGAATTGTTTATTTTCACGTCAAATTACAATGAGAATGATATGATTATAAAATATCAAACAATCTTTTTAAGAGATTCACTTTCTTTTCTAATAGAAGAAACGAAGAATTACTTCAAATAGCTAATACCGTTAAATGCGCATACAAGGTAACGGGCTGCAAGAAGAGACAGGGTTAAGTATAATTTGTATAGTACAGGTGTCCTTCAAGGATTGGTTCAAATAAAGTAGACCTTTTAAGAAAGCAATTTTTTTTTACTATTTTAGGAAAAACTTTAGGTTAGTTGTTTACTTTCTTTTATTATATTTTCGTTTTCAAGATTACGTTTGAGCATTCAAATAGTAATTATTTATTGATAAATAATTTTTTTTAAATAAAAATTTATTAATTTTATATACTTAAATTTAAGTCTAAAAATTATTATTAATAAATTTATATTTTAAAAAAATTAACGGATAATTTTGAATATAATAAAATTTATGCATATTAATAACATTAAATGATACTTTTTTTTAATAAAATATTATTATTTGTTAATTTTTATTATATATCATTAGACATGTATTAAAAATTTCATTTTTAAAATAATTGTATGTACAAAGAATAAATATTAGTTAACTTATTTCAATAATAATTTTAAATATATTTTTAACATAATTTGTATTTTCAATTTAATTTAATAAATTTGATAATTAAATTATAATATAAGTTATTATTTAAAAATTAATAACTAAATATTTAATTAAATGTATACATCTAAACGCACTGAGAATCTAAGAAAAAAAGATTGTTGCATTTATAATATTTAAGCAAGTGGTTGACCGTGGAAGTTGATGGGAAACTTTACTACTGGGGAAGGTCACAAGAACGATGAATTTAAAAGAGATTTAAAATAATTATTTAAAGTTAAATTAAAGAATGAGCACGTGACTGTGAGGAAAATGCGATTCACGAGCACGTGGATGCGGACTATTTAGATGCTTTTGGGAACCCTTTTTCTGTGTGATGGGTATGCCACAAGCCGTGCGAATTTTCCCCCTTCCCTTTTTCAAATCTCACTCATACATGCGCATCTTTCTTTATACTTTTCAATTTCACTTTTAATATACCTTTTTTTTTAAATAGAAAATTATAATACGGATTCAACTTAATATAATTCTCTGTTTATGATTTTACTAATCTGTTGTGTATGATTCCCCGAAACAAACCATGTTCATGTTCACAAAAAGGAACTTATAATAAGTATATTATATTCACTAAATAATTTTTAAATTATTTTATGAAATATATTAAAAAATAAATCTTCTCATGTCACGGTGCATTAATTTCAGCAATTAAATATATATTATTATTATATAAAATATTATTACTTAATATATTTTAGTAAAATTAAAGGATGAAATTAAACACTGCACAGACAGCACAGCTATTATGTGACAATTTCCATTAGAAGATGCTAATCCAATATACTAATCCTTTTATCTTCTAATTTAACAAATTATTTACGCTATACATTAGTCATCTTCGTATTCCATAACTTTTATTGTATTATTTTTTTTTTATTTTTCTTTACAAGATGCAAATCAATTTTATTCTTAAAATATTTCTCGACATATTTAATCCCTAAAATAAGAACACATGAAATAATTCTTCAAGATTAGGTTACAAAATTAATATTATACTTTATACATATTGAAATTAACATCAATTTTATAATTAATAAAACAGATTGAACTGACTTATTTACATTTATGTATTTAAAAATTGAAATAAAATATTCACCTTGTATTAATTTAATAAAAATAATTTTTTATTTTTCTTCAAAATTTAAGTTTTGTATAATAGTTAGCATGTTTAGTTTATAATTTGAAATTTTATTATTTTTAAATTATATTTTAAACTATTTTTAATTTATTCTTTTAATTATTATTGGATATATATATATATATATATATATATTCATTTTCTAACAAATTAATTGAGAAAAACATTAAAATGATATAAGAGAATGTGACGAAGTGAGTTAAATATATTAAATTAATATTTTAAAATTTTAGCCATTGTCTTTAAAATGCAATTTGCATATTTAAGAATTCAAGTTATAAAAAAAATAAAGATTCAGAAAAAGTATTACTAAACTTACAAACCTTTTATTCTAATATTGGTTTTCAACACAGCTTATTGAAGATAAAGATAATGATAGAAGTACAGAAAAACAAAATTTATTTAAAATTACATTTATTGAAACATAATTAAAATACCATTGACATAAACGAGGTTAAACTAAGATATTTCTTTCCAATAAATAATTCTAGGAAATGTTTTCTAACAAGAGGAAGCAAGTACAATAAGAGATCTATGTATAAATAGTTCAATCCTACAAAATAGACTTCAACTGTAGCTAAAGGATTTTAGAAATTTCTTCTTCACATGCTTGAAAGGATCATTGAAGTAGCTATTTCACAGTCAAATCAATGTAACAACTAATCATATCCTAATATTTCTATATTTAGTATAAAAGATTATAAAAAAAATATACAATAAGTAGTAATAAATTCATTATTGTCAAATTGATGTCAACTTATATTCACCACATTTTCAACCTATAAAATTATGACTTCAATTTTTGTTATTTTTTTTTTATGGTAGTTAACATTTGGATGTTGAGAACATTCTAAACACTTGATACTTATTATTTTTAAAGGTTGATGAAACTTGTTAATGATTTCTCACGATACTTTTATTTGTTTAATAAAAAATATTCTTGCATAAAACACTTTAATACTCAAATAAGGAATGTTAGTGAAAGTAAGGGTTTAAGGGATAAGAAATATGATATTTACACAAGTGTGTGAGTTTGTCAATTTCTACATCTGATATGCAACTATAATATACACTACATTTAGAGTTTGTACATTATACCATAATATATTCAATATGGCTAACATATATAAAAAATGTCAAATAGTAGAAGTGTATGTGTATGATAGCTAAATTTAAGATGAATTCAGACATAATTTCACTTGATTTCACTTGATGTAGTCAAAAGCTTAGTAGATAATGTATTAATGAGATTGGATGATAATTGCGATGGTTGGTGAATTCAAAAATACTTTCTTTTAGGAGTGCATCTTAGTAAAATAAAAGTAATCTTATTATTTAGATATAAGTTCAGTATTTAACGTTGCATTACACACTACGCTAAAAAGAAGTTGGGAGAGCGGTTTTATTTTAAATTATAAAGCGTTTATAATTGTTCTAAAATCTTGCACTATCAAATGTGTTAGATTTAAGGGAGCAGTTGTTCAAACCGCTTTCAAATGTTAAGATTATATAGCAATTCCACGTAGAACTGTTCTTTAAAGTATGAGTGTTAAGATTGTAAAGCGGTTCAACGCGGAACTGCTCTCCAAAGTATAAGTGTTAATATTAGAGAGTTGTTCAATGTGGAACTGTTCTCAAAAGTATGGGTGTAAACCGTGAATTTGAAATTTATTTCTTTGTGAAGTTTCTAAAACTGTTGCAAACTAAAATTAATTTATTATTACGTTTAAATTTTAATTTATAGTACTAACATTTAAATTTTTTCATTTTTATCACAAATCAAAATTAAATCTTGAGTTTATACGGTATGTTAACCAAATAATCTACATCTGCATGAACCAAACATAAGTAGATAGAGAAAAAGAGAACAAATTAGTAGGATAATTCATCATTAATAAAAAGAATTGTTCTTAGAAGTATAGATCTGAGAGCGGTTCAATGCTAACCACTCTTTAAAGTATAACTTTGGAGAGCGGTTAACAG